TGCAATATTTGTATATTTGATTTAGGATCCGTCTGTAGAGATAGTTGTCATGTGAATTAACTCCAAAATCCTATTTCACATGAAGCAGAATTATGGAAAAATAATGTTTCATGTCAGTGATTTTTTTTTTCTCTTTACAGGTTTTTCCTTTCCTCAGCCTTATTATTCTCAGCTTTTTTTTCATCTCCCTCTTTCTGTGACTTGGACAAACAAATGACTTCATCCCAATATACAGATAGCTGACACACAAAACCAAACCAAATAAACAGTTTTGTCTTATTAAGAAAGTAAATGTATATAAAATTTACAGTTGATCTTGGTTTATTTCAGTATGGATAAATATATACATACATATTATATATATACATATACATATGTATATATATATACTTACACACATACAAAGCCACATAAACTCATACAAATATATAAATATAAATATCCATAAAATTCTAAATACTAGATTTTTTTCTAAGATGTTGTCAATGCTTCATAAATTTATAAATATTTTACAAAATTTACTTTGACATATTGAAATCCCAAAGCATAACACTCATCTGCTTCCCTCACTATTCACTTGTGATTTATTTCCCGTCCAGCAAAACTGATTTATCACATCTATTATGATTGGTTTCATGTCACTTTTTAATACTTAGAATCCTTGTTTTTCACCAAAGCTAATTTCCTTGTTAAATTTGTTTGAAGCAGTCTATTATGATATACTCCTCCAGGATCTGCATTTAAATTTGTCATTATTTTCCATGTCATTGACCTAAGTCCCATCCTTGTCAAACATTTCATTGCCAAGTTCTGCAGTGAGTAGAGTTAGATTCAGTTGCAATGTGTTCTTCTTGAACCAGCCAGAGACAAATAAGACCCCTTGTATATATGTATATATATATTTTTGGATTGTTTAAACAGCTCACACCTATGCAAATGAGTTAGTGTGAGTCATGAGGAATACAATAACCACACAACAGCCACAAGGACTTTCTAAGACATTTTGGCTAAGCAAGTTCATTAGTTCCGAGCTTGATCAGGATCTGAACTTCCATTAGGGGGAAATGCTGAGGTGGTGTTACTTCTCATGGGAAGTGGAAACTTTCTTTTGATTTTTTTTTCCCCTTAATTAAACATCCCAAGTGAGCCAGTGCAAGCTATTAAAAGAAAGAAAGAAAAAAAAAAAAGTAATATTAAACTAACACCGAGGAAAGAACATTGCTGATTCAGCTACTATTACCATTTTTCTATAATTTCTTTATTTAGTGTTAAGGTCTTTTATCCAAGAGCTGCTGAGCTTCATTCCCTTATGACCTGGCAGGCCCATGCTACACAGTAAAAGGATCAGGGATACGGCCTTGGCTCTGAGCATCTCACAATGCTGAGCCTTGCTGAGGCACCTGTGAGCAGGGTGGTCCTGTGGGACTGGTGGTGGCCACGGACCAGGAGAGGTTCTGATATCAACCCATCTTGTCATCCTCTCCTTCTGGGAAGAGATGGGGAGACCAGCTCTCTCAGCAGCGCTGGCAGCTTTGGCAGGTGAATAGAATACCTCTTTTACACCTGCAAAAGCCAGATGCTTAGAAAGAGGATCTCACCTCAAGGGAAAGGAGGGGATCAGCACTCAGGACACTTCACCTTTGGAGCTTGCATGGTGGCCCTGGTGGTTCTCCAAAGGATTCTGAAATGTGGTCATGTCTGCAAAGTTGGCTAAGGTCTACCTGCTGTCTTGTATTACCGAGCCCATGCACTAAGCAGTCTTTTTCAGGATTCACTCACTACTCTTACTCAAACAAACAAACAAACAAAAAAGCTATATTTTTATGTTAATTATGAAAATAACCTTCTTTCAGGGAATGGAGGAAACAGTTGTATTAATAGCTCATAAAAACCTTTCTTGTGTTGAAACAAATCAGTCTTTTCCTGACCCATTTTCTCAACTCTGTTCAGTTAGGCAATGCTTTCTAAGCCTTACTATACTTGTTGCTTTCTTCTGAATTTTCTCAATGTGCTTCTCAATTACTCCAAAATAGCATTTAGTACTCTAACCCAAATCTTGCCAGTGTTGAACAGAGGAAAGCAAGCACTTCTCTGTAGCATACAGAGGATGTCCCTACAGCCCCAGAATTTGACCTGCCTCTCAGTGGCATAACTGGCAACTGTTACAAGTCCCTAGACACCTGACATACAGCAAAATGCAATGGCCATGGAGATTATTATGAAGCAGCTTGGCCAGAAGAGGAAAAGGCATGCCTCAGCTACCCAAGTTTTACTTTTCTGGCTCTGAAGTCTCATTCTTTCTGTGGGTAATTTGTTTTCACTTGGTCTGCAATGTCAAGTCCAATAATGTGTGCACGCCACAATTTAAGTTTGTGTATACAAGGATGATTACACAGCAAAGTAATTTGTTAAGCCACACTAATTTAATGATATGCAAATGCATTCACTATTAGATTTCCCCTTTCCTTAAGAGCATAAGATTTAGCTTGCATTGATTTAGCATCATGTTGACTCTTACTTCACTTGTGATCCACCACAACACATCTTTGCTTTACTTTTTCTAAACCATATATTCTGTCCCCTTTAAGCTTGATTGCAACATTCTTGGCATAGAGTTTTGCATTTTCTTCTTCACTGAATTTCATCACACTGGATTAGAAAAGGTGTCCATTTTTAAGGAGATCGCTTTGAATACTGACCATATCCTCTATATCAACTATAACCTCTCCCAGGTCAGCATCATATGATCAATGAATGTTACATTTTTTAGTCCCTCATCAAATTTGTCAGTGAAATTACTGCCTAGGACTGAGACCAGGTTAGATTCTTGTAGGATTCTTGCCTTGCTCCCACTTCTGATTATAAAATGGGTCAAGGATATATACATAATTAAAATAGTATTTTCAGCTGCATGAGTTTTCACTTACAACAACTCCATTTAGATAATATTTTTCTAGTTTTATATTAAAATGTTACATTGGACCTGTATCAAAAGCCTTAATGAAGTGAAGATCTATCACAACCTACTGCTTTTACCCAATCCATTAGGCCATTATAAATTGTTTAAAAATTCACCGCAGAATCTGTCTGGGGATTATGTTAAAGCTGCAATAGGTTATGTAAGGCACTTGTCTACATTTCAAAATTTTCACACTTCAGCTGTGCTGCTACGATTAAAACAATAACAGCCTTCCACAAACCCACTGCCAGTGTCAATACAGTTCAGCTGGAATAAATATGCTAATTCCAGAACATGTATTCTGCACCTGATTATTTGGTTCAGCAACTGAAATAAAATATGCCACATCCATGCTCCAGCTTTCCTGACCTTACTAGTTCATCAGCAACAACTGTCCTTATTTGTACGGGTATGCTTATAATGCTAAGGCTGACGTGTAACCATCTGTAATGCTGTTGTACAAGAAACAGCTTGCTTGTTAGTCTTGAGATCCTTTCCAGATTGAAAAAAAAAAGGATCACCCTATTTTAGGGAAGTCATGAAGGCTAAGACAAGCATCGTTGGAATTTCAGCAAGAAGTGATCAAGGCCTTTCTTAGTTGTAAAATATCACTACAGGACTGATGCTCTAGGTCCTAATATCCACTGCTAGGAGACAGACAAAAAGAGCTAAGGGGGTCTAATGATTTCTCTGTCTAAGTTTTGTTTTCATTAGAATTGCTGACATACAGCAAGAAAATTTTGAGCCTTCCATGACAGGTATTAAAGATGAAAATTATTTTATACAAATAATGAGCCAGCAGAGTGCGGAATCTTTAATTTTATGGATCTTTACTGCCAAGACTTTTCACAGCTTCTTCGTATACCACCTGTCCACAGCATACCGAGCATCATTCGTTAATTACTGAGATGTCAGCTTCTACCTTTAGTTGACTCATGCCAAAATTCATCATCTCTGTGTTAAATCTGAAACAAACATCTTTCTTGGACTTGCTTCCATCTGGGGTAAAGATCCCTGAGGGTATCTTCCAACCCACTTCATTATCCTCTCTCTCTCTCTCTCTTTTTTTTTTTATTATTTTTTTTTTTTTCCCTGATAGCTATGAAACAATTGACAACTGATAGGCTGCTGGAGTGCTGCAACCACCCCCCCTCATTTTAATGAACAGCATCTCACTGTTTCACTCATTTTTTTCTCCTATGTCTTTCCATCTGCTGCTTCTTACCTAATGGCTAGGTTAACACTTCATGTTAAGGGAAATCTTTTTGTTTTGCAAATGTACAGTGTTGTCTTGGTCCACAGCTAGGGATCCTAAGTGTTGTGGTAGTATATATAGTAACTGAGCAATAAAAAATCCAATGATTTAAGGAACTAAACACTTTGACATAGTATTTCTTGTACCTCCTTTATTTAGACTCGGAGATTCCATATGTCTTTGTTTCTTGCCTACCATGGCTTCTGTCATATCAAGAAGTGTAGCCAATGAAAAGCATTGATCAAATTTTCTGCTAAGGCGCTTATGCCATTCCCTGAAGGTGGCTTGTCTGCCCTGGACATAAAATGGGCTCAAAAAACATAAAATGGGCTCAAAGTTCCTTTTGGTTATTAAAACAAACAAAAAAACATACAGAGACCCTCGAGGATTCACCTTTCCAAAACAGTCTTCCAGTTACTTCTGCCTAATAACAAATGCTTTACATTCAATATCAGATATTTTACATAGAAAAGAGACTATTATTCTTTCTGTTAATGACACACAATGGTCAAAAACAGTGCATGATATTCTCTGCTGATAGTATTAATCAAAATATATTGATAGTGTCACAGTCAATTCCATTATTTGCCAAATTATTTCAGATTTTAAACATCTTCCTTTGAATTCAGATAAAACACAATCAAAAATATTTTATTGAAAATGAATTAACAGATACTCAAAATTCTACATGGCTAAAGTAATAATTTAGTGTGGTCTACAAATTGCCTAATTGGAAATGGAATATTTTAACTAATGCAAATTTTAAATATAATAAAGAGTATACTCTATTTTTCTCAAAAAATTTAATTGCAGAATTATTTACAGGAGATGAACATAAACAATACATAAACCAATTGAAAGAGGCAGCTTCATAAAAGAGCCATGGGGCAAAATAGTGAAGCACATTTTCTTACAATCAGCTGGAGGTGAGTAGAGAACCATGAAAAAGAATAACTCAATAATAAAACAATTCTCAAATATGTCTTCAAAGTAACAAATAACATTCTGGTAAAGAAGATATTACTGAGAAGCAAGAAATTATTGTAGCAATGAAACAACATACTGTACATTCAATTTAGGTATCCTGCATGCTACTAAATAGAATTTATCAAAAGAACCATAAAAGCATGAGAAATAGAATTACATAAAATAGTTTAATTCTAGTGAAGTGTAGCTTTATACAGATGGTGAATATTTGGCACTCAGTTCATCCTCATTGTTGATATGATTTCTTATGTATATATATATTTATATATATTTATATATACTTTTAATGATAACTAAACAGCTAGTTTCCTGGTTCTAACATTCCTTGAAATTCTATAGGAGGCATTTAATTTAGTCCTTAGGCCACACATTTGTTTATTTTGGCATGTCACAGGGCAAATGAAAATACGTGTTTTGTCTCTGTGCAGAAAATCCTGCACAATCATAGTGGCTTTTCTTCAGGAAAGAACAGTTCTAGAGCAGTATCAGTCAGATTTCTTGAAAGGGAAATTTTGTTAATTCAGGAAATTAACATCTAAAGTGGACTAAAGAATACATACATGCGGAGCCCTTTTAAAATGAGATGGCCATACTCTTAAACCTCCAGAGCGCAAATAAAAGCATGGATATGAGCATGTGGATTCCACTGGTAATTATAAACAAAGCTAATATTTCTTTGTGAGGACTATAGTCAGAGACTTGAACCTACTAGCAAGCCCTCTGCTCGACTGTGACTGACTTGAAAGGAAGAACCATGTCCATTCCATTATGCAGTAGCTAACACTTGCAGTAAGTCCCTCCTACCTCAGCAGTGCTTGCTGAGTCAGATGTTGACCTGAATTTTATTGGTCCAAATCTGACCTTTCTCTCTGGTTTCATTTATATAATTCTAAGAAGAATTATATATTCTCTAATGCAGCTGAGATAAGAACACAGGCCAAAGCTCTGCCATAATTCATCTCACTAATAGGACATTTTAATGATAGTTTGGCTTTAAGAATGGGGAATGTTGCGCTGCGCTGAATGAGAGAAGAATAAGGGAAGGAGAAGAAAAAATCTTACTTAACAGGATATGTGGTGAATAATGGCCATACCTTCAAATAAACCTCCACTTCATTTAATGTTAGTGAAAATATTCATGTTTTTATATTAGAGAAGTAAAAAATCCCCTCCAGCAACACCAATTTAGAAAAATAACAATTTGGCCTTAATAAAATAGAGAATTAAATTGCCAGCTGATGAAAACTGTTGTGTTTGCTCAGTTCAAGTGCAAACTGTGTAGACACACTAGTTTGTGTTATCTCTGATGTGACTTCAGAAGCCCAGTTCTGTCAGCAATAGATGATAATGGCAGAAACACCCATGTATGGAAAGGAGGGGCTCTGAAGATGCTGTCTTTTTATGTGATCATAATTTATAAAATGTGATATACATTTAATAAGAAGGGAACTGGAATATGGTTTTAGATATAATGAATGTCATGGCCTCTTGCAGCTATTAGAATTTTATTTTATTAAGAGAGCTGAATCAGCCTAAATATTCTGTCCAAATTCTCTTTTGGGCAAGTTTCCATTTCAATTTCAGTTTTATACTTGCTGTCCCGAACAGCCTATTATGTGGTTAAACAGCTGCAGCATTACACCATAGAGGTAGCTGCATTACAGAGAGAACCTAAGCAAATTCTATGTATACAGAGGGCTTAATCCTTGCCTGGAGTCTGCATATGCATATGAATATGCCATAAAACAGCTGTTCCCAAAAGATGGTCCCTGGAGGTGAACATGACGAGCAGTTGCAGATGGGCCATAGGACTGCATGGGACAGTTGGCCCGGCACATGGCAGTGCCATGGCTCAGCTGCAAGGAAGCCACACAGTCTGCAAGAACGTGAGCCTTGACCTGGGTCTGACTGTCTGGGTACTGTGACACTGAAAAATTATTGTTATGTATATATGTATAAAATCCTCCTTCTGTTATCTGCAGTGTGAAATGGCTGCCTCTGATCTGCCTCTCCTGCCAGTGCTGAGAGGTGTCCCCATTGCTCTGTCATACAAAGAACCCTTAGGGTTAAAGCAGAGTCTCAGTACAGAGCAATTGCCTGAAACAAAGCATAATCCTTATGCCTAAGTCCTGTGCTCCATATTATCCCTCGTGCTAGCTTGGCTAGAGGGAAGAAGGGGAGAGAATAGGGCACTCTGAAGTTATGCAACACGTGGAGGCTGCTTTTGCAGCATGTGCCCCAGATCCATCTCTCTGGCTAAAAGCCATGGGGGTTGCGCTTGTGAAGGAGAGACTTGCTGAGATCTCTGAGCAAGAGTGCTCAGCTCCTGTGCTCACTACTGCCCAGGGCTCTCCTGGCTCCCCGAGGTGCCCTCCTGGTGGAGCTCCTTCATCACCAGGACCTCGCTGCTGTCACAAAAAGAAAAGGCAGAGATTGTTCTGAAAACGTAATTTGATGTTTTTCTATCCCTGCCTACATCCTGGAGGGACACAATCAGCATCACCCTCTTCCCTACTTTGATCAGGTTTTCCTCTTCCTTCATCAAGTGTTCCCCACTCATTCGGCACAGGTGTGGACTGTGTGGGTCCTCCCTGGGTGCTGGAGGGTGATGTGGAAAGAAGCTCCCCTGCAGCATGGGGACAGGCAGGAGAGCCCTTGTCCCTGCAGTTCCCCAGGCCAGTGTCCCCCTGCAGGCAGGGTAACGACCATCCTGGCACCGGCTGGGGCCTGGCCTGGGGATTGCATGTCAGCTAATAAAGTGCTTGGAGATCCTTCTGGATGAAAGGCACTGTATAAATGTAAGTCGACCTGCGATACACCAGGAAGCACCTCTCTAGGCATCAACAAGTTAACTGCTGTTCCTCACCTTGAATGTAGCCTGCCATGGTGTCACCTCAAGGCCATCTGGTCTGGGAACAGCAATGGGAGTAACACTGCTTTGCATTTCATTTCAACTCTCTGCCTAATGCAAAGGCTCCTGCTCCACAGGATTTCACGGCTTTTCAGCACACACAGCCTGGCACCTGTAGCTACCTGCTCAAATTCAAGACCTTGAATGGCCATGCACAAACCATACCTTGATGGGTCAGGTTCTGACGTGTACCCTGCCTGTAATGTCAAGGAAGAAGGACATCAAACCCACCAGCCAGCCAAGGCAAGCTCAAGATATTGGATGCAAACAGCTGAGATGAGTGCATCTGGAGGGATGCCACTACACCAATTGCAGCAGGGCCTGGAGAGACCGCAGGTCACTTATGGCACACAATCACTTAGGAAGAAAGTATTCTCCTTGCAAACCACCAAATGACCAAAAATTCCCTCACTAGATGCAGTGCCAAAGGAGTAGAAAGTAGAGTAATAATTTACTGATACAGCAGGACATGGGCTTATTTTAAAACAAATAATTTATATTATATGAAATGTATTATATAGACATGAAATCCACACACCTTCCTATGCACACTTTAGTTCCTTCCTGATTAATCTCAAATCTAACATCGTGACAAGTCTTAAGCATGAATTAAAATGTATTTTTTTGGTATTAAACTGTACAACATTATTAGTCTTTGCACACTGCCAAAGGCCATTCTGATCAGGTCAACAAGAAATAGTAAAACACTCCATAATATACTTCACCAATTTACAAAGAATTTCAAATCTAAAAAAATATACAAAGCAAAAAAATAAGTATGGCAGATATCAACCAGTCAGGTCTTTTTCTTTATTTAACTTTTCACAATTCTGTTTATTATACTTGTGTTTTACAGGCAATGAAGAAATGAACATAGACTTGCTATAAGTTTCATCGGTTAAAATAAATATAAGTCCAATTAATGTTCAATTAAATACTAGACTATTTTGCTATATCCAGCTGTTCTGTGTGGATGTACTCCATGATGTCTCTAAGTAGAAAGTATTCTACTTTCTATCTTTATGTTTATTTATGCTCCTCCTGCATTGGTTTTGTAACTGAACTCTATTTTTATGATGTGGGGTCAGATTACAATCAATCCGTTTCTATGTTAAGGTACCATGTGCTGTGTTTCTCATGTCAGGGACTGAAAAAAAATTGATTTATTTGCAACACAAGTATGATAAGCATAATGTTATTTTTCTAAACTAACAAAATGTACAATATGTAGATAGAAATGGCTTTCTTGCTCTCTATGATAGAATGTTACCTGTACAAGAATTTAATATATTGCACTTTGAAATATAACATGCACAGATAACATATTATCAAATCTTTCAGTAGGCATCTAACTCAATTTTGATACTTTTTCTTTTGTTTCCATTCTTGTTTTTTTGGAACAAAGGTGGAGCAAACAGAAATCATATGCATCCAACATTTATGTTGAACATTTGCTTGTAATGGCATGGGAAATGTAAAATTCAGGGTTGGCATCATTCTTGCAGGCCTATTTTTGCCTGAGAACATCCATTAAAATTGTAACATCAAAAAACAATGAAAATATGATTCTAAATTAAAAGCTTAGATGGACTGCCCCAAGTAAGCATTACTAGGTCAACTGGGATCTAAGCACATCTGTAAATTTTTTTTAATGATTTGTCTTTACAACTGTCAGACTTTTAAAGTCTGATTAGTGGCAGGATCAAATGCAACTTGTCTTATCACATGAGCTATCCCTGCAGATAGGAGTTTTCAAATAAGTAAGTCAAGTGTGAAATGTACAGGGAAATTAGAGAAAATGTATCAGCTGCCATATATGTATATAACAGCTTCATATATTTAGTTGTGTGTGCCTATTTTATATTTCCTAAAACTAGGAAAGACACTAGCTTTAGTTTTATGTGGATATTTCTAATTAGCAGCTCCACATTAAATAATATATCAGTTTTTGACACTAAAGATGCCAGTGTCTGCAAGTACATTTGTATTTAAAATAGTACAACAAATATAGAAGTAGTATCAATATTGTACACTACCCAGAATTCAGCTCTTTCCTTAATAGAAAATGCCTTGAAAACACAAGGGATGGGAAAGATAACGTTTTCATCTATAGAAGAATATTTCAGGGATTTTTTTTTTTTCCATTTTTGAAGGATATACATTCGTCTTGGTTTTTACTTCCAAATATAGTTTAAGGCTATTTGGCAAAGTATATACCAGATATCAGGCTCAATTTACAGGGCTTTCTCCTCACAGAAACATCTCAAAACTTCATCTCTAAAGATTCCTATCTTGAAGCTAAACGTGCTTTATTAGCTGTGCTCCAAAGACAGAACTCATGCTTAGTACTATGCACTGTAGGAAAAAAGAAAAAAAAAGAAAACGAAAAACAACATAAAAAAGCAGAACCAAACCAAAACAGATTAGAAGCAATGTCAGATCTGCATAACCTATGATAATTCATGTTTTCAGTCATCTGTCAGGCTGCAGGGTGTGTGGGACACGGATTTAAAGTGCTTGTCAGGTGAAGAACCAAAGTGCTAGAGTATAATTTAATAGCTGTTCTGCCTATGGCTAAATACATTGCATTTGTTAAAGCAGGTAAACAGGAAATGCAGTAGATGGGACTGTCTGTCTCACTGTGTTAATATTGTTTTGACCTAAAGTATTATTCAGTAGTGTTCCAACCTTGGAGTCGGAGTCTGTGGGTTACTTATCTTATTGCGTCTTCACCTGAAGACTTCTAAGTGCTGGGTTGCTCAGTTGGCTCTGGAAGGTAGGTGAAGTGGCATAATTCTATCTCAATTTGTTTTGATTTAAAGCCTCTTAATTGTGGGAGTCACCACTTCTATCTTCTGATAATGAGAGGCTTGAAAATACATTATTTTCCTTACATTCCATGGCTGGAAATCAGTTTTCTCTTGAGTCATGTTTGTTACATCTGAAGCAAGCAAGAAGCTTAGTCTTGCTGTAAGTGATACTGCATAGAAAAATAGTTCTAAAAAAAATACAACTGTAAACCACAGTTCACCTTTACCTTAACATAACCATTTAAACTTAGATATACTTACCACTCACATTCATATTTCTTAAACTGTTTACAACATCACAACTGGCATTTTAAACAAGCAAGATTTTTTTCTTTTTTTTTTCTTTTTTTTTTCTTTTTTTTTTTTTTTCTCAAGGATACCCTGGAAACTCAATTGATATAACATTTTGAGAGTTTGAAATATTACATGTAGCGCAGCTCTTGAAATAAAAGAGAGAAGGCTTATAAAATAAACGTTAACACATAAAAGAACTGTTAAAAATGCGATGAGTGTTCCAAAGGAGTAAGTATAACTTTTTCTTTACACATCTTGCTACAGAAGATCTAACTTTTTAAGGCTTCCATTTTCCTTTCACCCATCACTCAAGTCCTCTTGCATTATAATTTTGCTTAGGTTTCAGAGTGTTGTTACACTGCTAACAGCAAACGTTTCTCAGTGGGCATTCCCAACACCACCAGACTTGTATGCTTCTTGGTTTCTGATGAACTTTGGAGTTTTAGTGGCTGGATATCCCTGTTCATCTCCAGAAACTTGACATGACATGAGAGGCCTAATGTTATTTTGCAGTAACAAAGATGAGGAGAATGGCAGAGCACATGGGTAAATATTTTAGCTGGGTTCTAGGAACAGAAACTGGAGGTCAGAGAGATAAATGGGTTCTTTCTTTCCTGCTCTTTACATTTGTAGCACCTTCTACTTGGATTAGCTAATGCCTCTAGTGAATGGTGAGATGCACCCATTTATAAGTTTGTTATTCTTATCCCTAATTATCACACATTTTATAAAAATATAAATAACAAAAAAGTAAGCTGGGTTCCATCTCAAGAGGTGTTTCTTGTTGTCCTCTGAGAATATACTGGATAAGTCAGGTCTCGACAAGCCCTATCCATTGTAGCTGATTGTAAGTCAGACAATAAATACAAAAGAAGTCGTTCTTGCGGTGAGCTCAGCAAATTCTGAGGAAATCAAAAGCATTCCACTGTGCTTATGGCACAAAGAACACAACAGCAAGGGCATATTTAGTGGAGAGAATGAGACAAAAATTACCAGGTAAGTGACAAACTGTACAAGCATTTTGTCTAAAAAAGGAACTCTGCAGCATTCTGTCTTTAAAGCCGGGTTTGAGCCTCTGGGATGTAAATCTCGATGCTGTCTGCACGCTCTGTGGCTGAATTCTGCCGGAAAGAGGCTGCTCTCTTCGCAGCCATGAGCCGTCTTCTGGCTTCTTGTCGCTGCCTGTCGGGTAGGTCCAGAGATTTTTCTCTTGTGATGGGGAATTTTCCTTTTGGGGGCTTCTTTGGTACAGGAGGAGGAACCTTTCTTTCTTCCTGCAATAGGAGGTGAATGAGTTCAAGGTGAATGGCGTGTGGAAGCTACCATCAGCAGAACATGCAAATTGAAGACATATAAAGCAAAATACTCATTACATACATCAAGCATGCTCACTTTGCGCTCTTAGATCAGCTGATTTATAGATTACGTGAAGGGCTACCAATTCTAGAAACACTGACGGAAAACCATTACTTCAGCACAAATTCTGTCATCCTGTGCCTTCAGATAGCTATGCTTCCTTTTACTGTACTTACAGGTGTCCTACACATGCAGTCTACATACCTGGCTTTCACATGAATTTGTTTAGTTTCAGCTGACACACTGTTACATTCATTATAAACAGAAACACACACTGGCTCTCCAATAAGAATTCAGCGCATCTGTGTGGTTTGATCAAGTGAAAAGACCATCAAAGATTAGCAGGACAGAATTTTTAATTAAATTAATCATACTGAGTTTAGCCTCAGCTGGATATGAGATAGCAGCTGTGTATACATGTCTGTTAGTTTACTCTCCTCTATGAATTGCTAAATGGAAACATGCAAGCACCAACCAGAGAGAAAACATAGGGCTGATTGTTCTCCGTGTCAGCCTGGACCATTTTAAAGAAAATTATATTGAAGAATATTAACAAACTATAAAGTGAGAGTCAATAGATTTTGCTACCAACGTAGCTGTAAATGGCTTCTGCAGGTTTTATATCAAGAACTTTTCTGAAGTATGAAATTGATATTTTACTCCATTATAGATTGTGGAATATCACATAAGGACCTTAAAAAGATATTGCAGAATCACATAATAATATAATAGTTTAGGTTGGAAGGGACCTCTGGAGATGATTCAGTACAATACTCTATTCAAAGCCCACTTGAAATTAGACTCAAGTTTGAAGTTAAAACACATTTTTTTTTAATCATATTTAATACTTGGCTGAATATCTCCAAAGATGGAGATTCCACAACTTCATATGTATTGTATGGTTATTATGATATATCTTTCTGCTGGATAACTTCTTACAGTGGTTGTAATAGTTCAGAGCATGGGCTGTTCCTTATGGAGAACACAGTTAATTTGAGGCACAGCAGGATTCAAATAATAATAAAAAAAGAACTGATACACCTGTGGTTTGCAGAATCATCATTACTTTTTTTTTTTTTTTTTTTTTTTTTTTTAATTCTGAGTCTACTACCAAAATGCATTATCCAAGACTAGAGTTAAATTTAAGAACATAGTTCAATGTTCTCAACTCAGCAAGAACAGTGCAGCAGCCTAAAATGCTGTTCTCCATGACAGTCAGCTCTTCCAGTCTTTATTTTCTTTATTTCCTGTTTTTAGACAGGAACATAAGGGCTCCATTCCTGCTGTCCCATCTTATTATTTTTTTTCACTTTTAATTATTTCCCTCTCAGGAACACCACTGTTGCTGTCACTACAATAATTTCTTACTTCCAATTGTCACTAGTAAGCAAGAGTTGCAAACTCACCATCCACCAATCAGTTGGCTGAAAATTAAAATCCAAGAGGAGCATGAAGAAATGAAAGAGTTGTCAAAATGCCTCCTAATTCCTCCCAAACCAAACAAGTATTCACCTGAGGCCAACAGTACTGACTCAAACCAAATGCTGCCTTCATCTGACTGATATAATAATCAGCAAGGGCAGTAGGATAATTTGGGAGCAGGGCAGGGAGTTGCTCTGGGAAGGGGAAAGGAAGTTTCAGGTTTACATTGTGCTCATGGCCATGGTGCCACCTGCTTTGGAAGCCTGGTGGCCAGGGGTGTTTCCCAAGCTGCACCACAAAGGTGCAAGCAGTTTGCTAGAAAATCTCTTTTCCCCCAAACTTTCATAGTCAAGCTTTAGTTTGACTGGCACTGTGCTTTGTCATACTCTTTTATCTCACTTGTGGCCCAGCACCAGTCATCTCTTGTGGGTAGGATTAAGCACCATAATGCTCAGGTTTGAGCTGGCCCAAATGGAGCAGCATGCTGCAGTTTACCTTGATTGAATTATTGGGCTATTGTCCTCAGTCTGAATTAATCAGAACATATTTCAATTGTAGCCTTTTTAATGTGAATCCAAATAATTTCACCACAAATGTTATAGAGCAGACAAACAGGATTGAGCAAAATCAATTTTGTTTGTTACACAATTCAGCTCAACATTATTAAAAAGAAAATAACCCCCCCCTCATATCTGATGAAGGTTTCCATGTATAAATTGGGCTATACCAGTAGGTGTTTTCTATCTTTGGGCTAGAAACCTTCCACACTTCACTACTGGATTTGACACAGGGAGACCACAGCACTATAAGTGGGAAGTAAATGGTATTGTCCATGGTCTATTTACCTTCCTTTCAGGTGATTCTATTATTTTCCATTCATTGAGCTTCAGCTGGTGCAGTTCATCAAACTTCATGCTGACATCTTCAATCGAGAGCTGCAATAAGTCCCAGAAACCTGCGAGGTCCTGGGAAGTTGGTCTCGGCATGGCACTCGGGTCCTGTCATGCACAAAGGAGAGAGCATGAATAGAGCAGGAGGCTTTAAACAAAGTGCTCTGAGGCAGGAAAGGAGACGTGCCGGATGATGTTGCTGCGGTGCTGCTCAGGGCTAAGGCTACACATGCTCTGCAGCTGTGCCTCCTACAAAACCCAAACACAAACGAGCTACATGTCCTGTGCTAGCCTTTCTGCATCTGTGCAGCACAGAGAGCTCCTCAACACCATCTGCTGTGCTGATCTGCATTTCTAAAATGTGGCACATGCTGACAACCTCTCTCTGCTGATTATTAAAGGGAATGGGGATGTGGTTCGTATTCCAGGAAGCCTGAAGTTTTTCTGGTTAAAAATTACATCTGTGATAGCTGAGGAGAGGACAAAGCAACGCTATGAGGAAGTTGTCAACTTGTGCTGGATTCGATGTTTACATTGTCTTGGGTTTTCAAATATATGCGTAAACTTTAAAATCCGGGTGGTACGTTGGGATTTTGTTCTCCATGGGGTCGAATCATGCTCAGGAACTGGGCAGGTATTATTCCCAGGTACTGCATTAGGTGGCGCTAATAACCTGATGATTAACCAAACGTTAATGATGGATAAAAATTGCATTAAAAGGTAGCATACAGAGTCTGTACCTCATGTTTTATGAGAACTGGTACTCTTCAAGAAGACAGGTTTGTCACTTTAGTGAACTAGGGCTTAACTGGTAAACATCTCTGTGAAGATGATGGAGAAGTAATCTCTCAGGGCAAGAAGAAGTAGTTAAGAAGATCTCTGCAATGGAGCTGGGAGAGATGCAGTTGAAATCAGGCCAAAGGAGCTCATGATTTCCCCCTCACTAGGCAAAAGCTGTAATGTCTAGTTTACTGAGTAATAAATAAACTGTGGTGTTATTGATGAAGCAAGGCTCTGTGCCCTGTATTCTTGGAATCTAATGGATGAAGACATTTTAAGTAGTGAATAAAGCTCCACAGGGTTGTCTAAAACTTGGAAGAAAGATAAACCAGAATTTCTATTCACACCTAGCGGTCTTACACTGGGAACTGCTACTTAAATTTGGGTTTGGACTACTGTGGGAGCTGAGTGGCTGGAGCTGGGCATGATGCTGTGTAGTGTCACCCATACCTAAAACCCTTTGGGAATCCAGCCCAAGAACAACTGCCTAAAAGTTTATACATTTCAAAAACCTTGCTAGAAAAGCTTTCATTTCATAGGGAGTTTAGGGATTAAACAGAAGTTCCAGTACAGATTATAACAGACTTCTGGGAAACATGATGCAACTCCAGATTAGTGTTCACTGAAGATGTCTTCATTGGGAAGATCCCAATTTATTCCAAAACTATTTACAGTGTTTGTCAGTGGTATTAATTACTGAATAAAGGTCAATATCAGAGGCTTCAGGAACCAACTCCCCGCATGAAATTTGTCAGGACAGTCCCATAGCAATTTGTCTTGCACTGCGATCTGTTCTCTCCAGCCTGGTCTCCTCGGTCCTTTTCCCCGCTTTCCTCTAAACAGCCACAAAATGATGCCACTCATAGAAATGTCATTGCCTTCTGAATCAAGGCTAATTGCTCTTCTGTACCTTTGTGCTTTGTTCATCCCTGATGCCGAAGAGCACAGCTTCCAGAGCAGCTGGGAGGAGAGGAGCGTGCAGTGCATTGTGCGGACACAAGAGGGCTGCCTCCTGCTGCTATCACTTATGGATTCGCAGCCCGTAGATAAACGCTAGCAAAAATGATTACTATTACAGCTAACTGGGTTTTGGAAAGAGTGCCTTAAACCTGCTTCTTTTCAGAAGTGGCTCTCTTATTTGTATCGTATTTGGAATTCAGCTTTGCAGCCTCCTTCCGAGGGAAGCCTAAAGCTAGCAAAAAGTACCTGGCCCATGCTCATGATGCTCTGTTTTTGCCTGCAACTGTGACACACCGAGAGATAATTTCAAGAGCTGAGTAGGATCTGTGCTGACTAGGGTATGGAGGAGGACACTTCAAAGAAAAAGCAGAGTATTACAAGAGATAATGTGAATAATTCATCAGGGAGTAGTCATTAATCAGTGATGTTTTTTTTTTTTCTAGTAGTTATTGGGAACCATATACTGTAAGAGATAGTCAGTCAGATTCTCGTAAAAATCACAAAATCATAGAGTGGTTTGGGTTGGAAGAGAGCTTAGAGATCACCCTATTCCAACACCCCTACCATGGGCAGGGACACCTCCCACCAGACCAGGTTGCCCAAAGCGCCATCCAGCCTGGCCTTGAACACCTCCAGGGATGGGGCATCCACAACTTCTCTGGGCAACTTGTTCCAGTGCCTCACCACCCTCACAGTAAAGATTTTCTTCCTATTATCTAATATAAAATTACCCTCTTTTAGTTTAAAACAATTACTCCTTGTCCTATCATTACATTCCCTGACAAAAAGTCCAGTTGTATGAATTTACTCTGAATAAGAGATCTTAACCAAGAGCATCATCAAATATGTTGCCTGAAGTTCCTGTCACCCTTTAGAAATATCCATAGGCAATGATTAAATTTCAGTTTGAGTAAGTACGTTCCTGTTCTTAAAACTTTGCTGCATTTTTGTGTTGGCAAAAGTAGATGCTGTTGTTCTCTGTTGTACATTTATGGTTATTGTTGTTGAATACTGTTACAGAAACTGCTGTGCTGTAGCCCTGTAAGCACTAGTTGTTCTCCAGCGGGGGACTTCATAAACTGGCTGCTATCTGCCAGCATTCCCATGGGGCACCAAGATGCTGCCTTTGGAGAATATGTAAAGCCAGCTGTAGACAAGCACTGACTATTTAACAAAAAGCCTCTACCATTAAGCATAAGAAGAAAAGCCTCAAAACATGAACGAGCTAGAAGTCCAGTTCTGCAGTTGCTGCTTTCTGCAGAGCCCATTGCTGATTTAATGAAGCTGAAGAATATTCAGAGCTGAAATATCCAGAATTGGGTGAAGCTGCCATTAAGGAGTTCAAAGGTTTATTATCCAAACAAGAAGGAGAGAAAATGTTGCCGTTTTTTGGTCATGTTATCTGCAAAGCGGTAGATTTCTACTACTGCTTTTGCAGTAAGGAATTGTCAGCACTTCCAAACTGCCGATGGCTGTGCAGAGCAAGAGCTGCTCTCGTTATTACAGCAATGCTCTCAAGCACAAGTGCTGGTCCCACTCGAAGATAAATGAAGTGGAATGGAGGTTAGGATCTCCAAATCTTAGTTTGCATAGCTTAATCAGTCAGGTAGTGGAAGACACTTTGAAATTTGCAGTAAGAAACTTCTAGGCATTGATGAAGATTTCCTTCTTTCACTATCAAAAACATGAATAAATAGAAGCACACATGATATATTTGATACTACAGATGTGGTCATCTCCTGCTTGCCTGACTTTGCATATTTCCTCTGTCATTCTGTCATAGCTATTCAATTTCTTGTTTTGACAGAATCTTTGAAGTGGATAATTGGATTCTCTCCTAAAGAGGACTATATATCTTATCCTTTTCTATCAGAAGGTGGGACTTTTTTTTTTTTTTTTTTTTTTTGGCATGACATTCTCAGTAATATTTGACTACAGTTTCAGGAATTTTGGATGTTTAACCTTAAGAATGGAAAGTAGTATATGGGTCTCCCCAGAATGACTTTTGCTTTCAAAATTGTGTAGCAAATACTACCAGAAAAAGAAATGTATCTAACCAGATATATAGGTCATGTCTGCTGTCATGCATGTAACAAAATTCAGCATATTTAATGTATGATGTGTAGGGACAGTCAAGAGGTGAAAGTTACATTTGGTTTTCAAGTAAGCCAAAGAAAGTAGGTGTACCACTGGCCTTAGCTAGAAGCATTATGTTCTTCTATTGCATAGTATCATCTTGCTACAACGTTTACATCACTGATGAGTGCTGTCATATTAACGAAGATAACATTTCGAATCAAATTAGTGTCTAATGAACTTCCAGAACAATAGCAGTAACTCCTACAAGTAATATACTGCATCTGTTCCTTTAGCCCTAGGACATCTTATGTATAATTGGCAATGCAAATCATAAAACCCAATTTCATGAACAATATGAATGTTCCTGTTTCCCAGATCAGTCCTATTTTCAGGTAGGTAGAAAGCTGCATCCTGTATCCTCCTATTCTCTGCCTACTTTAATTTGAAAAATTCCTCCTTTCTTACCAGAAGTACAGTTACTATTTTAGGGTCTTACAAAAATAAGCCATAATATTATGTCTCAGAAAACTTGCATTTGTTCCCTTCTCATTTTTTTATTTATTTTTTAATAAAGACAGCAAAAGAAAAAAAAAAGACAACACCCAACTAGACTAAAATTACTGAAAGTACATGTTGGCTTTGATAAAAAATGTACTAACACTACAAGATTAAGTAAAAAAAAAAAAAGGAACAGTAAGACAAATGTGAGACATGAAAATGACATTTCAGAATGCTACTTTCTGGGTACACTACATTAGTTTCTGTTGTTGCCTTTGAAGTAAAAATATTTAATTGTAAAATTTACAGTTTTTTGTAAATTAGTATTTTGTAGAATAGTAGTATTTTGTAGAATACTAAGTATGAGGAGTCATAAACTCTTCAAGAATGGCCAGACATGGTGACTTACCAGATTTTGCTGACAGAGCCAATAAAATTGCTGGAATTTCTGAGACATGAGCAGCTGAGCACTTCCAACAGCACTTCGGATCTTACCTAGGACTAAGCATACAGAGAGGTTATTACGAATAGATGTTTTGGCAGTAAATGTAAATGCCAACTCAAAGAATATGTAGCTGAAATCACAGCTTAGTTTATACTGGAAGTAAATATTTTGCTGCTTCTGATTATACACATAAAATATTTTTAAAAGATATAGATATAGGAAAGCTCTGTGGCATCTTACCCTTTGTAAATAGTAAATGATATATTAATAACTCAGAACAACCAAGAATGTTTGCTTAAGAAAGTAGGAAAAAAATCAAAGGAACACAGACAGATTCCTGAAGTAGGCATATATACAATTTTTTTTTTGAGAAAAATCTTAAATTTTAAAGTAAATAACAGCAACAACAACAAAAAAAGTCAGTGATAAACATTATTATCCAGATTTTTTTTTTCATTATTATTTTTATTTTTTTTTGCAAATGCATCCTGACTTAACAAAACATTTAACTACAAATAATTACTGCAAATGATTCAACAGGTCTACTGACATTGAAACTAGTAAGTTGCCACCAAACTTAAAGCTCTTTTTAAGTTATCATCCAAAGTCTGTTAGCTTTTCTAGACTCATCTCTTAAGCACCATCAGCCACTACTAAAAAAAATAAACTTACAATACAGACCTGATTGAGGAACACCATTTATTTACATGTCTACCCTGGAAGATACATGAAGACCTAAGCATGGGAGGTTCAGACAGAGTGGGACACAAAAAAGTGCTCCAGGATTTTGCTGAATCATGACCAACCTGCACGGTTCATTGGACTTTCCCCAGTCAGTGTGCTTGTTATTTACAGTGTGCACAAGAACAGGGGAAACGAACCAACCCAATTTGTTTTACTTCACTTTGCTTCCAAGAACTAGCTCTCTAAATCAAAATTTCTATTTATATACATGTATAATCAAAGACAGGAAATAGTCAGCTCATCAGCTCACCCATGTTAGGCACTTGTTTTTAGATGTGATGAATCGCCTCCTGAAGATGTCTCTTTCTATTGACTAGAGTGCCTAAGCGGACTGGCTTATCCCGAGAAAACCAGCTTCTCCTAGAGTACCACATTTGCTGGGATAGACTTCAGTTGGTAGCAATATACTTTCCTACATCAAATTGCAAATTCTTTCAACATCTATGTTGAAAAAGCAACATTTTAAAATGCATAATAAGCTGGGGTTTCAATGCAAGATTGAGTTTTACAGAGAATTTCCCTATCTTTAAATAATCTTTAGAGAAATGACAGAGATAGGTATAGGGGCGACATAATAAATACTCTGGCATCTTTTGATTTGAATAGACTGCTTGTTTGAAGGAACTAAATCAATAATTTAAAGAAGATGCATAGGGTAGAATGAAGCTACCATACAATAAAACTGGACTGCAACATGTGATATAAAAAAAGTTAAATTCTTGCAGAGCTTAAAGTTTTGTTGTTATTTTGAATAAGAAGATGAGAAGACTGAGTGGTATATGAAAAAAATATTTTGGTAATAGTTACATTTTAATTCTGCTTACTCTAGACCAGTGAAACATCTGCTTAACCACAAGAAGCAGCAAGAGAGAAACAGAAGTTTTAGGCTCAATTTCTGTGAAAACATATGTATTTCATAACTTTAAAAGCATAAATTAATTTGTAAAGCTATTTCTTAAACACTATTCTGTTTTCTGTTAGATAAACAGTTTACAGCTGTGCCACAACACTAAATTAAACAGCAACATGCATAATTCATCTGTCCCTTGTGGCACCCATTTGTGAAAGGGTTAAGTGTTTCAGGGCTGTATGAGTAATTCACTGGGGTTTTGTTTTTGTTTAGTTGGCCAAATGAAACAGAACATTTTAATTGGTTTGGGGTTTTTGATCATCAAACCCCTTGCTTTCCTCTATAGAGCCATTGGCTTAGGAAAAGCAATGTTTTGTGTGTTAAAACCCCCCAAAAAACCACAGAAATATAAATTAAAAACAATTGTTTCACTCGATCTGAAATAAATCACTTTCATTTGTTTTAAAATCTGCATTTTAAACAAAGACAGAAATGTAAGTGTCGACCAAACTTGTATCCTCCTTGTCCCTGGATGCTCTACAGCACAGGACATAGGACAAACTCCCAGTGTGGGGTCAGAATCCCTTCTTTCCCAAGTTGAGGAATTCTGCACTAGCAGGTCCCTGGTATCACCTTGCTGAAGCTATTCCACACTCCATTCAACTACTCACCAGGCAGAAAAAGAGTGAGAATGGTTCTGGAGGCTGATGGTTGTAGTGCTTGTCTCACAGGGAATAAAGCTCAGTTTTAGTTTCCTCCACTGAATTCTGTAGCTCACAGCCAAGCATTTAGTATGAGGAAAATGCAATGTGGGCCCTACCACAGAAATTTAGATCCTGACAGAATCTATATCTGACCAATATTTTGTAGTGAGTCTCTTGGTTACTCCAAACCCCAAATTAAATAAACATTTGCTTGATTTTCATTATCATGAAAGATCATGTTGACAGGTATCTGTGATTTAAAACCCAGGCAGACCAGACAAGACTTTAGGCACTGGCTATGCTGTGTTTTGGAGTAGTACACCTGCATTTGGGATGTCAGACACTGGTTCTGCACTATCTGCATGTGTCACCAAGTCCAGCTATATGCTGAAGACTCCTAGAAAGCAACCTTATGCTGAGTGATGCTCATGTCTCATGAAGCAGAGAGGTTCCCCACTGTGCCCGAGAAGAAGACCACCAAAGTGAAACATGTGCCTTTGGTTCCTCTCTCCAACTTCACCTGAAGCTGCCTAAATCTGTCAGCAAGGATCAGGTTGGTCAGACCATTATTCCACTCAAGTTTTGGAAACCCACAAGGAAGACAAACCGCAGCCTCTCAGGGTTCCTTGATCACCCTCTTGTTGAAGAGTTTTGTCCTTCTGTCCAGTTGGTATTTCCCTTGCTGCAGCTTGTACCCACTGCCTCTCCTCCTTTCAGCGTGTACCTCTGAGAAGAGACCGCCTTCACCTTCGCGGTTTGTACCCACTAGGTAGTGGAGAGCTGTAATTACACCCCGATTTAAGTCCTTTTCTCCAAGCTAAACAAACCTCGTTCCCTCATAACTACTCTACAGATGGCAGGCTTAAACAACTTGCAGAACTAGGACCCCACTGCCAGGAATAAAGTTCGTTTTGAAGCAGCATATAGCTCTGGTGAGCAGTCTTTCAAAAAGGCTCCAACAGTGATGAATACACATGTATAATTACAGGCCTACCATTTACTAAAGATCTAACTCTATTTCCATTTCAATAAGTAAATCAGACTTAATAAAACATAGAAGTTAGAATCTCTCATATTCATGCTACTCTGCTTTGCTGTAATTAAATTAAAGTATTAAAACACTTCAATTCATAATCTTTAGCACAATATTAATAGACAGCCAAAGTCTTGTTATTAATTTCATGCATTGGGGAATTATTCTGATGAGTGCAGATTGATTATCTCCATGAAGGAATGATGAATGTTAGAGACTGGAGAGATTGAGATGTTTGGTGATGCTTCAAAGATTTTGCTTGTAAATAAATGATGATAAAATCAACCAATGTAGCTAAATATATATAATTTTCATATAATTCCTATACCTTCTCCCCTCCATAAGATAATGTTATATTCACTTGAAAGAGTCATACCACCTTAATTCTGTTCCCTGAAGCATATAAAGCACTCTATTTTTGTTGTGTGGTCCTGTATGAGTTTTACTCGGAAGACGCACAAAACTCTTACTGTGACTGCAGTAGATGCAGACTCAGGATTTATATCCTGGATAAAGATTGTAGAAGTTCCCTGTATACAACATGGAAAATTAACACAATGGTGTCTTTTCCCCTGCAATAAGCATATTACAAGAAAATTGCAAGTAATATATATTTATACATGTTGTATTGTGTGAGGAATGCTACAGACTCTTATGACTGAATAGAATTTCACATCAAAAAGGCAGAGTAAGAAAAGTTAGAATTATATTGATCAAACCAAGACCATAGTCTGATGCTATAAATCTATTTTTGACAGGTTAAAAGCTTTGCTCAGTTGCACCACTGTAATGAGAAACTGTAGTAATCAGTCTGCTTCTGGTATTAGTGTTATTTAAATGATGTGTTTTAGTTTTTAGTTTTAAATTTTCATTTCCTTATTTTTTTTTTTTCCCTTTTTCCTTTTATTTTTTTTTTCTTTCTTTCCTTTTCTTTTTTATTCATAAGCTTGTAAATAAATTGTTCTACACACAATCTGAGAAAGTATGCCTGGAAGAATATTCTGTCACTTAGCTCATCATCCCAACATGTAAACCAGAATATTTGTGCAATCTGTAAACCTAAATTTTTCTGATACTAAGCCTAAATCTGTCTAAAATATGCATCTTTTCCACTGGCAACATAGCAGGCAGGCATAATAATAAATGCATAATATTTGGAGTGAGATGATATTTTAGAACAGCACAGCCACCAGTCTGTAGTGTTCTGGAGTCAAGGTATGGCAATGGGACCCTTGTGATCCCTGAGCCTCTGTGCATGTTCAATTTTTACCCTAATGGAGATGAGTTCAGAGAAGAGAAAATTTAAGCTCAGCAATACAAATGCTAGGAGGAATTCTTGGGTTCCTCACTATGGGACTGTCCTGTACTGATTTTAACTACTGTTTCAGGGGAATTAAGACATTCTGTAGTCATTTACAACACTCCAAATGTCAATTGCAATATTTTCTGAAGGATAGAGTTGTGAAAGGCATTAGGAAATGATGTCAGTAATCTCTCTTTGGTTAAAGGATAACCTATATTTGGTCAAATACCTAAGAAAGCTTTTATGGATGATTAACTATGAATGTACTGAAATAAATTGGTTGTGAGGTTTCTTTTTTCCAAAGTGTGTGAGATTTAACTCTACCTTTTCTGCTACAGTTCTGTGTTACTAAAGCCCTTGCAGTACTTGGGAAACACCAACCGGAGGATTAGCAAGGACAATTCAGCATCCATGGAATGAAGGGGTAAGGGGAGAGAAAGGTGATATTTTACGCTCTCTTGCTAATGCCTGATACGCTAGAGATCACTTTACTTCAATAGAGCATAGCTGTGCCAGCAGAGCTCCTAAAAATGATGCAGAAGAAAGATATTAGCGAAAAACCTCTTTGTGCTGGTATGGTTTAAACTGGGCTTAAAGACTCTGTTCTAAGATTTATTTTATTTTATTTTATTTTATTTTTTGTGCTTTGTTATCTTAGGATTTTGATATGAGAGTAAAGTCTGGGTGGCAGTTCTCCATTTGACCTGCACACTGAAATATCTCAGTAGAGGAATCTGTGGTGTTTGGGAGCCTGTGATGTCTTCTGCTTCCCTCTGCCACATCATGCCTGACCCTGCAAGTCGTGGCTCCCCTCTGGGCTCACAGGCTCTGCTGCTTCCTGTGCAAGTCTCCCTGCTCCCGTCACATAGTGCATAAAGCTCAGCTCTTGGGCTGCAGAGTCCTGGCCCTCTGTGTCTTCAGTAGCTGTAGTGTGACAACCTGGAGCATTTTTCTTGTCATCACTTACACGCCAGCAATAGCCAAATACAATTTTCAGGGTGTAAAACTGAAACACCAGTCAGCACCCTTGAGAAACACATATCTTTGCTGGAAGGCACCCTGCTGGTGCAAATGATGAGATAGCTTACCCTGGGAACACTTCCAGCCATATATATATTATATATATATATATTCTGATAAACACTGAGAACACAAATAACTGCCCACACAGACAACACTTGAACTTTACAGAGACTCCGAAATACGATTCATGGCAACTGACCAAACGAAAAAATACTGTCTGCAAAAAGAAAGCGTGAGAGGTTAGGTTATTTTTGTTGCAGTGATTATCTTCTCCTTTTCTAAGTCCTGATGAGTGAAGATCTTAAAACAACATTATGGGAGAAAAGCTACAGTGAAAGAAAAAAATCAATACAGCAATCAGACAGCTTTCTGTGATCTCAGGGCTATTGTGCTAACACAGAAAATGAAATTGTTTTCTAAAATGCAGCTCTGTTTTAACTCTTCCTTTGATTAAAACGAAATGGAAGTGGTAGCATAAAGACAGCCTTCTCCTATGAGATGCAAAGCTATATTTGTTCTTCAGGTACAATTAATATATCATGGCCAAAAAAAAAGAATGATTCAGCATTAACAATGACAGTTTGAATGTGCAAACTTTGCTGTGAAGTGTCATGGGAACAGTAGTCCTGCTGAAAGATGGAAAAAACATATTTAGTTACTTCTGGCTTCTGTATTTCTGAGTATTTTCTTCAGGGAACTGAGAAATGCTTAAATATGTCAAATTACATTTCATGGAGGGATATCATTAAACTTTAGTTCTTATGGATTCATACCTTCCAACCTACATAGTTTAAACAGGGGATACAAAATGTGTCAGAGACTACTCAACAGGAAAAAAACATCTAGCAGAAATTTTAAAATGATCGTTCCCTCGGTGAAAATAATTCTTTGATAACTTCCTTTTGCTTGATGTTAGCTATATTAAGCAAAGGCTTACCATTTCAAAGATAATGTAATTCGGAAATGATTTGAGGAGTATCTCTTGAAATGAATCACATAAGATGGAAAAGCAGAAGTCTGTGTGTCGCTTTTGACAAACAGCTGAAGACAAGCATTTTATTTCATTTATGCTATATAGATCTATTTTATACTTTCTACTTTAACCTATTAGGGAGGCCAGATTGCTCCCCCAAACATAGAAAATGAACCTATTTTGGTTAGGTTAAAAAGGGAATTGCAAAAGTCCATTTCAGTTGTATTTCAGTATCTACATGTGAGGGAATTGCCCTTTCTCTTAAAGAGTCACTCTGCAAATGAGGAAATATAAAATACTGAAATTCCATTTTGTCTTCTCTGAAATGTTTCTAGATTAAAAGGGTCTCACTAACTGTGAAAGTTAATAAAAATTAGCAAAGTCCAATTTGTCTTTATGTCTTATCCTTCAAGTTCTTCTCTACAATTTTCTGAAAACTTCTAGTTGTTGCAAAGTGTTTAAGGGTATTTCTGGAGTGCAAGTGTAACTTTACATGTTGGAAGGGAGGGTCATTCTTCACCCAGGAATTGGTAGTCAATTAAAATCAGGTCCTCCAACTTTTCCTAACATAACACGTAGCCAGCTTCAGATTCTACAGACTAATACCACCAACTCCCTACCTGTGTTTGTGAATGAGGAAGACCTGAGAACATTTCCACTGCTAATTTCAGGTGTTTGCAAATTTGTTTATGGCTGTGCATGAGGAAGAGCTTGCAAAGAAAGGAGATAGCAAATGATCACAAGCACTGATGTCCACCAGGCAACACTGAAAGCTAGTGCTTTGGGATATTTAATGATGGCAGAGAAATGTCAGTATTTAGCAGTGCAAAGATTTGGGGAATACAAAAATAAGATGTATACGGTAAAAATAAGCATTAAAAATAACCACTATGAAATAACATTTGGGAATCCTAACACAAGCTAAGCAAAGCAAAATATTTTATTATTTGTACTTAAACAGTACCTAGGAGGGTAATAAAGTCTTCATGTTATCAATGCAAAGAGAGGACTCTCAGCTCATATCTGCCATAATGAAAATGATGACAAAAAGCTAAATTCTGGAAAGCACTGGAGGCTGAAGGAAGAAAAACAGCCTTATGCTCTTTCCCACCCCAAAAGCTATCTTGTTAAGGGCAGACTTGTGCACAATATAGTGCAGAAATATGACTGTAAGATGGAAATGATGAGGTAAAAATACAGATATTCCTTCTTCTGAAAAGGTCAGTACAAGAAATAGAAATTGGCCTTTTAGTGACCATGCAGGCATGGCCCAAGACCTGGGGGTAGATCATAAATAAGAACTCATTGAGGGGGAAAGAAGACAATCAGGAAAGAATATTCAGAGGTGATGCATGGATTTGTAAGAGTGTAGGAAAAGATGCTAGTAAGAAAACTTAATATGAACTAATTTGCGATCTGAGAAAATCTGGACTGAGACAATAATTCAGATTGGCAGGGATTGAAATATTTATAAAACTAAGACTGGAGAACAAGGATAATTGACCTCAGAGGGAATCACAGGGAGCTGGCTACTGAGTAGTAGGACCACTTTGATGTATTACTATCATTAGTGCCGGCTTGGATCTTGTTCCAAAATAGTCTACATTATTTTTCACTTTTTCCCATCACTTCTTTCAAGGTGTCCACAGGAAGTGAGAGAATAATAATGATTCGTGACAAAATTATAATAAGAAAATGCTGCTGAACTATGTGGGATTGTAACTGCAGAAGTACTTTAACTACTGCTCTTGCCTATTCCTTCCTGTTCTTCTAATGGCCCCTTTATGATAGTCTCACGTGTCTCTACAGGAATGAAAACATGTTTAAAATGCCTGTTCAAAATAAGAGACAGATTCTCAGGATTCAGAAAAATGGCAAACAAAAAAACTTCACAAAAGACCACCTTGTGTGCTGTGGCAAAGGATCAAGCACTGGAGCCACAGAAGTGAGTGAGAAGAATGTGCCAGAGCTGGTGCTACAGATGGAGCTATTGCCCCAATCAAGCTGTATCTAACGCCAGGCTTTGATCCTTCACTTGACTCTATGCAGTTGGCTTCTCAACTGCTTCCATAAAACCTTACTCTGGCAAAGACCAATGTGCACAGTCAGTAGCAGGACAGGGGGCCTATATCTAATGGTTCTGTAGAGCATCTTTGGTACTGCAAAATGAGTAAGGAAAAATAACACACCATCAATTTATCCTAACAGTTTTTAGCAAGCATCTGTAAGAAAAGATACCAAGATGTTCTTACTTTCCTCAGAAAGATCATTTTCTTCTGCCTCTCTTTCCATTTCTTTACACCATCCTTCCATTCTCTTAGTTTCAGTATGCAGCAACTTCATAAACCAAGATCCGTCCCGTCGACAAGGAGACATTCGACCAGTCTCTACTGTCTCAATGGCTGGCTCTAGCCAGGGTTCTGGTGGTGGAAGGTTTGAGGTGTCAACAGGGGTCCTGTAATCTTCTCTGTAACTGAACAGTCCCTGTGTCCGTACAGTTCTCACTGCGCTGTATTGGGTGGGGGTGCTGGGCTCTGAGTGCTGCTGGAACGACGAGCCAAACTGAAGTCCCTTGTCCTCCATGGTGATGTGTCCTGGAAAGCCCTCCAGCTCCAGGTCAGCCTGGACAGCTGCTGTTACACTGTTTGAGCGCTTAAATCTTCCATGTCTTGATAAAGGAGGAAAGGAAAGGTATTAAGAAGTCATATAAAGTCATACATGTTTATACGGGGCACAGAATAGTATTTCAATGGGTGGATTCTAGTTTTCTCCTTGTGTTTTACGCTAAATATTTTTCTTTGTGCATATTCCACTAAAATAAGACAGTGAGTAACAGCAGAGAGAAAAAACAAAAAGCATAGTGGCATCATTGATCTTAGCAAAGATACAAAAGAAAATCATTTAAATTATCTCTGGAAGCAAATATTGATTTATTCTCTTACTACAAAATACCATGTATCATTACTAAATGAACTGGAAATAACTAGCAGAACTGTGGGGTTGCATCTCCTGGTGGAAGACTGCTAAATACATGTATAAAAAATCCAAATATTAACGATCATAATTAGATAAAACGTGAAAATCTGCTAAGTTAGGACTGTTAACAATTCTTTGGAAAAAAACCAAAACCTACAGTTTTACAGTTTTAAGAGGTTCTTTTTTGTTCTTTTTTTTTTTTTTTTTTTTTTTTTTTTTTTCCAACCTCATAAGATAACCATTAAATCTTGATTTTCTATTGTAACATGCCAAGAATAATGACATTTAAGAAAAGATTTATATTATAAAGGTAGATAGACGCTCAAAGATTATTTGCGAAATCCTTTCACATCTAGGTCTATTGTTTCAAATTACTTCTAGTCAATGTTGGTAAAAGGCAATTAGCAGACAGATACTGTCTGACAGCTGCCGTGAAATGAGATAATGGTCCCAGTCCAGTACTTAACAGGCAGTGCCTGCCAGGGATAACCAACCAGTGGGTTAGTGCATTGGCCATCAGTTTTACAAAACTAGGTAAAGATTGAACGAGCATAGAAGCTGATTCCAGCTTAGGATAAAGATACTATGCTAACCACTGTACCTCCCTAGGAGGCCAGGGAGGGCCTGGATCAGTACAGGATGTCCTATCAAAAGAAGAATACGCCAATATACATCTCTTTGTTTTTGTTCTGCAACTAATGAAAGGATATTAATGCACCACTTTAATTTAAAACTTTCACTTCCTTCACTCCAATTAAAACTGTAAAGTTAACTGAATGATAAGCAACTGCTAAATATTCTCTACAAATTTTACCAAATGACCAGCATGCATACAAGAAATTTGGCTTTATGAATTATTTAGGAGCAGAAGTTGCCAGATGTTTGTTATTAACACTGTTTATAAATGCGCTTTGTATTATAAAAGCCTACAGATTTTTGTATGTGCTTGAATTACCGTTTTTCATCTTCTACTTGTATCCCAACAGAGTGGTATTCCCGTAGGCCTCTGCTCTCGGTATCTGAATCAGTTGCTGTTTCCACCTAATTCAACAGAAAAGATACATCCACAGAGTGAGCACTGACAATTCAGCATTACCTGCATTTACTCAAAATAAATTATATACTTCCTCTTTTACTGCTATGAAACTCGCAGCAATAAATACATAACTTAAATAAGTATTCAGCCTGTTAACATTGGTTTGGTGCTATGTTTTCTAAAGCTCTGCACAACTACTTGTTTCGCTGTGCAGTTCCCTATTTCAGATCTAAGCAGATGCAATTACTCAGGTCAGTGGAAGCAGGGAGCAAGCAGGATGGCCTGGAAGAACTGTTCTTAGAACAAGGAATGCACAGAATTGTTCCTTTTTAAATTATTATAAAAAAAATCTCATTATAGTCCATGATTTACAAAATAAAATAAAAACTCAAGTAGCCCCATAAACTTGCAAGTGATAAAATGAAATACTGCAATGAAATTTTATCGACAGCTGTGTTGACAAATATAAAGCCATTTAAATGATGTGAAGGATACATCAGAATGCCATATCTCACCTTTTTTAATAACATGGTCCCAAATATGCTACATCAGGCAATTTATGCACCTTTTAATAGTATTCCCACCTGAAATACACTCACCAAAATACATTCACAGTACAGTTTTCTTCATAACTGAGACCACATTGTTACTGCAAATTTATGTGGGATTTTATATAACACTCCCCACCACCACACCGCCCCCAAGTCTTTGACACAGACATAATGAGTGCCACAGTATGCAAATTGTATCGAATCAAGGAAGAGTCAGGAAAAAAAAAAAAAAGAAAGAATTGAACAGACTTTTCACTTTGAATGGTATTTTCTCTGCTAAATTAAATACATATATATTATCAGCAACCAGTTTTTCCACATGCAAAATTCATGGGTGCAGTAAAAGACTACATCCTATAGTGCAAATAAGATAACTTTTCCTCTTGCAGTAGTGACAGGCACCTCTGGGAGGTGCCCAATGGCCTTTGCAGCTTCTTATTAGCTGCACAGTCCAAATCCCACTAGGTTTCTGGAAGGGTGCAAGGAGAGGGTGGAAGGAGGGTGAGATGTGAAATGTGGACTCTACACCTTGAAGAAGTCAGTTGCTGATAACTTCTCTTTCAATCTTCAAGGGGTATTTCCATGTACATTCACATTGAAGGGAATTCCAGCTAGTAATCAGTGTATAGTTGTATTTACCTGGGTGTGGGTGACGGTGACTTTTACAAAAACAGCTAATGCAGAAAGCCTCTAGTAAATGTTACAGTAGGTTTGAACTGTACAGTGTAGCATCTGGCATAGGTTTGCAAAAAGCTCTGCATATCAGTGTGGTAAGCATCAAGGAAACATTTTCCAGCATTTTCCATCTGTCCTGCATGAGTTCTAGGGAAAACACACTCTGTTGACTGTTCCGACCTCAGGAATTGCATGGAAGCTGGCTACATTCACTTGGACAGGTAGCACAGTGACAGAACTGTTTTTTTTCCCTAAATTATCAGTCTTGGTAGCAGTCTCCAAGACTCACATCGTGGTTTAATATGGAGGGACAGGACACTACTTGTCTCGCCAAAGTCAGACAAAAATAAGAGGATAGCGGCCTGCATCAAAAGATATTCTGGGGCTTCTCTGTCTTCAGAAAAGGAGCTTAAATGATCAGCAGAAAGAACAGAAAAAATACATTTCTAAGGATCTTCCAATTAGGTGCATATAAAAGTCTGTACCAAAACTAGTGACCTAGATTGACATTATGGTCAATAGTGAGACACTGACAATGTATTAGGTACTAGGTCCATTCCTCCCATTTGACTACAATGGAAACATCTAGGGTGTTATCTTAGATGTAAATACTATATATCTCTATTATAGATACACTGTTAATTGAAATTAATGTCATGTCTGGCATGTGGGTCAGTAGCACAAATTCAAACACACTATGTCATACAAAGCTGGAATGTAACTACTGTTGAAAACACAGGGATCCTAGTTAAACAGATAGATAATAGGAAAAGGATGTGGATGCTCCATGAGTAAATGAAGAGAAGCCAAAACAAAGAAACCATCTATGTGAGAAATTACAAAAAAGGCAAAAACTTGACAGAAAACTTGAAAAAAAAATTTACAAAAGGAAAGAAAAGTTGCTAGATGCATCCTCCTCTGGGATGCATCCCATTCTTGTGCCAAATATGAATTAGATTGAGGTTTGACAGTGCCCTCAACAGTAACTGCAGATTTCTCTAGTCTCAGATGTTAGGGAGTACACACACAACCTAAATACAAAAAGTAGCTAGAAAATAGAAAGCATTTATAATAAATTTTCAAAAGTATTTGCCTACTGGTACAAATATTTAGCAACTTAATACAGGTTCAATTTGTAAAATAACTGGAACAATTTCATGTTTATTGTTTTTTCTTATTCATTCAGAAAGAGCACTATGATCTGGCTTTGGAATTTATCAGGTATTTCTAGTAGCTTTACTGCTGCTAGCCCTCTTCAGCTTCCTGAAGCATAATAGATACTGTTAATTTTATTCATTTATCATTACTTCTAAATTTCTGCTATGGAACTGGATATCTGCATTTCAGTAAATTCTGTGAACGCTTTTCTGTGGAACTACAGTAGGGGTATTTATTACCCGAAGATCAAGTACAACATTATGCAAATAATTTTGGTTTAAAGTATATTTAATGTTAAGTTTATAAAAGAACATAAGAAACTAACTTGATATAGCTTAGGCATGTTAGATTGTTGGATTAATGGTCAGAGTTGGTAATGTTTATGTTAGATAAGTACATTTTATTCAGAAATCATCTAGGCATAAACCTGGACATATACTGTATTTGAACTGTCAACTCAATGCTGAATTTCTGAAAGGAAAAGGGTACTTGAGAAAGAAAACATCTATAGTTAAAACATCTATTTTTAAAAGGGTTTCTTTATTAAAGCCTATTTTATGTAAGCATCTCTGTCAATAGGAGAGCTGAAAAAACTTTTGAAAGACACTAAAGGAAGAAAGGGCTGAAATGTGCTTCAGTTCTCACTGTGCAAGCCTGAATGGACTTTTCTTCATTTTTAAGCCTGGAATTTCACTAGCAGAGTAGTTGTTATTGTATGCCAAATGAATAACACCACAGGAATGCACATCAGGTTAAACCAATGAACACTTGCACAGTCACAGAGTGGATGAGGTTGGAAGGGACCTCTGGAGATCAACTGGTTCCACCCCCTTCTTTAAGCTGGGTCACCTAGAGAACATTGAACAGGATCATATCTTAGTGGCTTTAGAACATCTCTAGCGAAGGAGATCTCCAGGTCTCTCTTGTAGTGGGGAGCCCAGAACTGGACACAATACTCCAGGTGTGGCCTCACCAGGGCTGAGAAGAGGGAGAGGATCACTTCCCTCAATCTGCTGGCAACACTCTTCCTAAGGTACCATAGGATACCATTGACTTTCTTGGCCACACGGGCACATTGCTGACTCATGGTCAGCCTGCTGTCCACCAGGACTCCCTGGTCCTTCTCTGCAGAGCTGTTTTCCAGCAGGTCAGCCCCAGTCTGTACTGGTGCATGGGGTTACTCCTCCCTAGGTACAGGACTTTGTACTACTTTGTACTCCTCCCTAGGTACTTGGCTTTGTTGAACTTCATGAGGTTCCTCTCCATCCTGTCAAGGTCCCTCTGAATGGCAGCACAAAATTCTGATGTTTCAACCACAACTTCCAGTTTTGTAACATCAGCAAACTTGCTGAGGGTGCTCTCCATCCCTTCATCCAAGTCACTGATGAATAAGTTGAACAGGATTAGACCCTGTACCCTTGTGGGACACTGCTATCTATAGGCCTCCAACTAGACTCTGTGCTGCTGATCACAACCCTCTGAGGTCTGCCATACAGCCAGTTCTCAATCCATCTCACTGCCCACTCATCTAACCCACACTTCCTGAGCTTACTTGAGGATGTTGTGGGAGACAGTGTCAAAAGCCTTGATGAAATCAAGGTAGACAACACTCTCCCCTCATCTACCCAGCCAGTCATCTCATCATAGGGGACTATCATATTAGTTAAGCATGATTTCTCCTTGGTGAATCCATGTTGACTACTCCCAATCACCTTCTTTTCCTCCACATACTCAGAGATGATATCCAGGATGAGCTGTTCCATCATCTTTTCAGACATGAGGGTGAGGCTGACTGGCCTGTAGATTACTGTAGTTCTCTTTCTTGCCCTTTTTGAAGACTGGAGTGACATGGGCTTTCTTCCAGTCCTCAGGTACCTCTCCTGTTCTCCATGACCTGTTGAAGGTGATGGACAGTGCCCTAGACATAACATTGGCCAGCTCCCTCAGCACTCATGGGTGCATCCCATCAGGGACTGTGGATACGTGAATATCAAATTTGCCTAAATGATTTATAACCCATTTCTCCTCAAGAAAGGGAAAGTTTCCTTTCTCCAGAGTTTCTCTCTTGTCTCCAGAACCTGGGATTCCTTAGTGCTGGCCTTAGTAGTGAAGGCTGAATCACAGAAGGCATTCAGTAACTGCCTTCTCTGTGTCCTACGTCACCAGGGTACTCACCCTGTTCAGCAGCAGGCCCATAGTCTTCCTTTTGCTAATGATGCATTTGGAAAAGCCATTCTTGTTGTCCTTGACATCCCTTGCCAGATATAATTCCAAATGGGTCTTAGCCTTCCTTGTTGCATCCCTGTATACTCTGACAATGTTCCTATGTCCAAGTGGCCTGTCTCCTTTTACATACTCCACGTACTTCCTTCTTCTGTTTGAGTTTTGCCAGGAGCTCCTAGCTCATCCATTTCTTTGCTTGACTAATAGTGATGCACCGATCTTGAGCTTAGAGGAAGTGATGCTTTAATATTAACCAGGTCTCTCAGCCCTCCCTGCCTTCTAGGGCCCTAACCCATGGGATCCCTCCAAGAATGTCCCTGAAGAGGCCAAAGTTTGCTCTCCTAAAACCTACAATTGTAATCCTACTTATTGTCCTGCTTCTTCTCTGCAAGATTCTG